TTGAATTATCAACAATGATGTAATGATGACAATTCGATATTCTTTGTCATTGATAATCAAAATAATATAAGATACTTTCTATAATTAAAAATAACAATCAGTAAAATAAATAGCAAATAGAGATTTAATTATTAATATTGCATTGTTTACCTTCCGTAAATGCACGCGTGCATTTAAACATTATAATATTCAAACTAGGAAGCCAAAATCAACCTACAAAAAATGACAATAGCCAAAATAACCAAAATGAAAGCTCTCTTATTGTTGCGAACCCATGTAACTGGTAGGAAAAAATTTAATATATGTTAGTATTTAGCGTTTGATATATAGACAGTTCTGTCATGTGTGCGTCTTTTTCGGAACGCTTATTGGCTTGGCGTCTATTTATTTTGAGGAAGCAATTAGACAATAATATTGATTTATCCGTGTTAAACAAGTTGATCAATAAGAAATGTATCAACGAGCAAATTTACGGAAGAAATAGGTTTATACTTCGCCAATGGTTTTGTTTCCTCTCTGGTGTTTTGTCTTGTTCGAAAATTAGATGTAAGCCTGCTTTAATTCTGAAATAAGAAAATTAGTTATTTGAGGTAGAACAAACCTGTGCCATGATCCCTGAAATTGTACTGTGGCGAGAATGCGGCTATGTGACACTTGACCGTTCTAACCCCTGCATGTCCCAAATGATTTGACAAAGTTTTCGCGGCTTGTCTAGCAACCGTTATTATTATGTCTGAGCTTCTTCCCAGAATACCTGATTCCTGGGATAAGGACTTGACCTATCAAGCCCACGGAACCTTGTCTGGTAAAGTTTATTTAAATTTATTATTACATATGTACATGGCTGTCCTTTTTCGTGTGTTAATATTAAATTTACATTCCAGAATGCGTGATTCGAGAATTAGAGCCGGTCGGGCAATATTACCTCGCCCATGCACGTAGAAAATTACACAACTATAGCTTTCTCGTTGATGAAAGAACTTTGGCAGAGAATGAAGTTGTTGACGTTGATGAAGCTGATTACGAAGAGGAGGAAGAAGAAACACCAGAGTTGTTGAAGAGGGATCCTAAAGATTGGAAAGTGTGTATACTGAACTGAGTGAATGGGCGTAGGAGAATGTGTGACGTACTGACAGTCTTTAATTAACATTAACAAGGAACAAGATCATTATGCAGTTCTTGGTCTTTCAAAGAGTAGATGGAGAGCAACAGAAGATGATATTAGGCGAGCGCGTACGAATCTTTAATTCAATTTGAATTGATTCTGTTGTTATTCGTGCAATTAGATTTATGTAATTTCAACGTGATTGTTATTCTGTAGATAGGAAAAAAGTTTTAAAGCATCATCCAGACAAAAAGGCGTCGAGTGGAAATACCAATGATGATTCCTTCTTCAAATGTATCCAAAAAGGTAATTTATCGCCCACTGATAAACATTCCTACATGATTTTATAACTAACTACCTCTCCCGACTTTTGATATCCGTGCACAGCATACGAAATTCTAACCGATCCTATCAAGAGACGGCAATACGACTCTATTGATCCATTAATAGACGACTCTGTACCAAAGACAAAAGGAGACTTCTTCCAAATATACGGACCCGTTTTTGAACGTGAGGCAAGGTACTATAGAAGGCTAGCTCTTTTTTGAATAGAAAGACGTGGTTTGAGTTGATAATACATGCCATTATATTTGTAGATTTTCGAACAAGACACCGGTTCCAATGCTTGGTGATATGAACTCGACACTTGCAGAGGTAGAGACATTCTACGACTTTTGGTACAACTTCGATTCCTGGCGATCTTTTGAATATTTTGATAAAGAAGACGCGGATAGCACAGAGAAGTACGTCTTACGGAAAATGAATCATAGCGTTCAGTGAACCCATGTTTTTTGAACAAACATTCGTTCGCAATACGACAACCAATGTCCCTTTTTTTTTTAATCAAACTCTCATTCTGATTTCATTTTTGCTTCCTTCTTTGGTTGTTTGGTTCAATTATAATAGTCGGGAGGATAAACGCTACGTGGAAAAGAAAAACAAAACCGAAAGAGCAAAGTTAAAAAAGAAAGATAACGCGCGGTTGCTTAAAATTGTTGGTATGGTTCTTTCCTAAGTGCAGGTATACTCTATAAACCCATTTTCTACGCTCACCGCCCAAGTGATTTTACAAATCAATTTAAATGTGGTTTTACCTTGGTTCCACATGGCTTGTAAATGTGGGCAGATCAAGTACAGACTTCAGATCCAAGAATTGCCAAGTTAAAGAGAGAAGAAAAGGCTGCAAAAGAGGCAAAAAAGAAAGAGAAAGAGAAGGCTGCTAGAAAAGCTGAGGAGGAGGCAAAAAAGGTGAGAACGGGCTTTTACTTGATATCAGTCCCTCCCATCTTCGTTCAATTCTCAAAAAAGAATAATCGTGCTGCTGTAAGACTGGTTCAACAAACCCTGATAATGTTTGATACTAAATAGGCTGCCGAAGAGACACAAAGGATAAAAGAGCAAAAAGAGGCTGAAGCCAAGCAGAAGGTATGAAACCTGACCATGGCAATGAAAGAATAGTTATCCAAAGAACTATTCGTCAAGGATCCAATTCTTAATTTCTATATTATTAGCAACTTGAAGAAAAGAAGGTCAAAGAAGCAAAAAGGAAAGCGATACGTACTGAACGAAAGAGCATCAGAAACTATGTCAAGGTATAAGGCTTACCTAGGACCTATTCTTCGTATTGATTTAGCTCAAGTTTCTTTCCTCACTCGCTTCATATTTAAATTAACTAATCTGATTTAATTTACTATCGGGTTTTCCAAGAGTAATAACTATTTCCATCCTGATTCAACAACATTATCGGCTGAGCTACTAGCAACTCAGATATCTGAGCTGGACTCAATACTCGAGAATCTTTCATTGGAGGAGTCACAATCGTTAAGAAAACGACTAGACGCCTCCGCTAATCGCGAATCAGCCAAGACTGTGTTGAAGGATGAAGCGGCAAGATTAATTGAAAAGGGTGTGTTGAGATCGGAAACAATTAAGCACTACGGGCCTGGTAAGTCTTGGTGACTTTAGTTTTTTGATTGAATTTTACGTGTATTTTGGTATGAATTTCAACTTGATTTTGTAGACGTGGCCGTGAAATCTACAGCAGAAGTACAAAGTGATGGAAAGGAAGAGGAGAAGAAGAAGAAAGAGGAAGATAAAGAAGAAGAGAATAAGGAGCAACCATGGACTGTTGAAGAGATAGCAGCTTTCATCAAAGCAGCAAATAAATTTCGACCTGGAGTTGCCAATAGGTAAATATGCATTGTGAGATTTGTGTTGCTCAAACCATTTATTAACATTATTTCAGATGGAGTCAAATAAGTGAATACGTTGCGCAACATTCTGGCAACCCACCCCGAACAAGCGAAGAATTAATCAAAAAATCGAAGGAAGTTCAAAGAGGTGCGATATAGTTGGATAATTCATGGTGCCAACATTGGCTATTAGTCAATGTTCACGTTTCGTTCGGCTGATGAGACTCAACATTATGTATGTTATCCAGGTGCCATTGCCTTGGATGAGGAGGATGTACGCAAATTACAACTTTTGAAAAAGCACTCCGACACCCGTATTACTGAGGAACCTTCTATACGAGAGGCGACTATTAACTATGACGATCCGACTCGCCTGACTACGGAGACTAAAACCATAACTTCCGAGTCTTCGAAAGCAAAATCTCCTTCATCAGACAAGCCAACTTGTAAGAAAAATAATGCAGCTGATAACACTATAGACAATGCAGCTAATAATACAAAAGATGCTGCTGGAAGTGCATCGGATGCATCTAATCAATCTTGGTCGGCAAGTCAACAGACACAGCTGGAACGCGCCTTGCAAGAATATCCTAAAAATTACAAGGGTACTGCAGATCGATGGGATTTGATTGCGGCTGCTGTCGAAGGAAAAACAAAGAAAGAATGTAGGGCAAGAGTCAAGGTGAGAGGACGCTTTAAATCTTTTGAAACGAGTTTGTCATATGAATTAAACTATTTCTCATACTCGATTTATTCGTTACACTATCCTGTTAGTATCTTGTTGAACAAGTTAAAGCGGCTAAAAGAGTATCTAAATAAAGGAGTGATATCATGTGCAGGGGCAAAATAAGTGGTTTGTCGTCCTCGTTGTGTTGCATAGCGTCAATGACATAAAAATGGTCATTCGCGTTAAAAGTTATGTTGAGAACATAATATACATGCTAGTCAATGTTACAAATCTTTTATTGATACGTAAAGCATAGAAATACAAATATTGGATACAAAATGTCAGATTTTAAAGTTCATAATGAATTTAACTACAGTCGCATGACATGGGTTCTCGTTGGGTTTGGTGCAAAACAAAATCTGAAATTCTGTCGAAGGTTCATATGAAATCGATACTACCATAATGTCTGTGCTGGAACAATTTTGCTACGCGTGTAGGAATCACGGATTTGTATAGACAGTCATCAAAATGACAGCAAACAGGCGATGGAAGTTTTCGGTATGCGTGGGCATATAGTAGATATCAAATATTGCACCTCCATCACCCATTATCGAATGTCATATTTTTATCTCAAAACTTATCCCACAGCTACCCGTAAACAAACAAAAAAACAACAACATCGGATCAATATCGATAGTTAAAAATTATACAAAGCATGTAGCCATCACTACTCACCCACATGCGGTCGCAGCCCGTGGATTATCGGTTACTTTAAACTGTGAGCCGACTAATTCTTCGGTATAATCTATCTTGGCTCCGTTGATTAGTTCAAGAGATGTTGTGTCAACCACTACTTTTGCTCCATTTTTTTCAAACAGTCTAAAAATGAACATTGAGGGGGCGAAATGTTAATACGAGCCAGGATCTCCTAAGCGTGCAAATCGAATACGCTTACACGTCATCTTGCTGCAATTTATCCGCCTCGGTCAAATCATAAAGATATTGAAACCCATGACATCCTCCAGAATCAACTGTCACCCTTAACACATTACTTGGTTCCTTCTCTCTTGCTGTTATTATGTTCAATTGCTATATAAAATAATTAGCAAACAAGGACAAGACAAAACAAAACAATTTTATTGTCGTGATTTGATGCTCAAGCATATTTTTCAGTTTTGTAGCAATCTATGCTGAGAAGTAAATTCACGAACCACTCAGTCCAGTATTTTAAAATTCATCATTTTATCAATAAACTAACCTGAGCGGCTCGATCAGTAATCTCAATCTTCAAATCTTTCGTGTCTTCATTTATACGCTGTTCCTCTTTCTCTATTGTCGACGTTGCTAGGTTTCGTGCTAACGCATTACCAGTCTCTGACTGTAGTCGAGTATAAATAGAGGAAAGGTGAGAGTGAGTAAGTAGACGGTGAGTATGATTTGAAAGCAAGTTTGTTCTCGGCAGGAAAGTAAATAGACGGCGAGTGTGATTCGTAAGCATCATTTGTTAAGGCAGTAAAAAATAGATTGGATCGAAGTATTAACATGTTAATTTACTTTTTGTGTAACATTTATAAGAACTTTAAAGTCACGAGTCGCTCAATCCTCGGGTAGATGTTGAATTAATCAATTACCGAGTTAACGTCTGGTATAACGAATGGCACAGTAATCGTGATATAAAAATTTTATGGCAATTTTTATTTTAGGTAATGTTAACGGGTCTCCCTGACTCAGGGTCATTAGATCAACCAGCTATTTTCTTCAACTTGCCACAACCGCCAATAAAAGCCAAATGATTCTTCTTACATGCTGGAATGCCCTTATGCCTTTCTCGCCAAACCCCGACTATCATTTCCCCGACTTTTCATAGGTTCTGCGGGAAGCTCGGAACGCCGAAGTCGTTTAACGGATTGACAGAGTGCGTTGCAGGACGGTAGATAAGGATGTATTTCGCGAGAAGTGCTAGCAGTCACGGTTTGAACTATTTGTGCTGGCGGCTCGCTTGTTTCTCTTGCTCTCTTCTTTACAGTATTAACAGCTTTTATAACGGCGAGTCGACTCGCTTCCGCACCGTGATTATGGTCGGTAGTCTTTTGGAGATGATGTTGTCCATTAACCAATCTTGTAACTGCTCGACCATTGCAATACATCGTACCACGTTTTTCGCAACACCAATAAAACGAGTTATTGCGGTTCTTGTCTTTGACTAGAAGGTAACCATTTACATTAATTTTGGCTTGACCACGGGTGGTAGAGACAAGTTCGCAAATAGTGTTATTCATTTTAATTACAATCTGTTTTGAAAGATTATGGTTTATTATATGTTTTTGACACGGGAGCATAAGTACGGTGATATGTATTATACACACCGTATATGAAATATTGGCTAGGTTTGGGAAATAGTGAATGTTAGCACGCGTAATTATCGTTCAGGTAAAACATAACGACGCCCGACCTTGCCCGTATTTGGGTTAAAAAAAAATGCAATTGAAGAACTAAAGCATATACTATTGGTTGCGTATATGATTGGTATTGTAAGGATTGGTGTGCATCTGACGTACAGTCAACTCTCTCTCTAAATATGCACTCTCCCTACGGTACTTCAAATTCCCAACCTCGGGAATTAGTGATAAATGCACATTCTCCCTATTCTGCACGTGCAACGGATTTCACCCCAAGGGTTATTATAATAATAATATGAACAAGATACGTTTTCTGGCAAAGTAAAAGAGGCGTATTGCGATCTCAGTAGTAAACCGTTCGCTTATAAGTACGTGTTTTCTTTTTTAAACATCGGCTGGTACATTGCTTTCTGCTGAGCCATTACAAATAGAGTGCTTGAAAGGCCTCACGTAACTCGGCAAAACTTTCCACAATCACCAAAAAATTAATTGCTTTTCCATATTCGGTACTACCATTGCAAACTATTTTTCATATACACTTAATTCTGTATAAATTTTATTGCTTTCTTAAAATTTCTTTTCACAATTTCGTCGTGGGTACGGGGGTTGGGGTACAAAGTAAAGAAAAAAACACATTGCAAAACTACGAAGAAACATAATCCCACGCGTAATTGGTACAACACAGCTTCGCGTTTGACGTTCCAGCAAGGAATCGCATTCTTGAACGATACTCTAGACTCTACGCCACCGTTTTCGTACATGGCCAGCTCTCTTATTTCCATCCAAAAATGCATGATTCTTAATAACGCTCTCTCCAAGGCCGGCGGCCATTCTAAACAGTGATGGAATCGATTGAGCTTCTGAATAATAAAACATCCACTGTGGTCTATGAAAAGCGGCTTCAAGCGCACCTATGTCCCTAACGTACTACATTTTCCATTATTCTCTCATGCAATTCAAGAAAAAAAATTCAAATCAACGTATTTTGGCTCATTTGTGCACTTCGTGCAATAATTTTCGGAATGAGCCACCGTTATTTTCACTTGTCCCGCAGACTCACATAGAGATCCCAATTTTTGCGGATAATATATTTGCCCACTTCCTTTTGTAAATCTTGCGGAGGCGTACGGTCTAAAATAAATTATGTTCGTTAGTAAGAATAAGAACGAATAATATGGTATATAAGAATTAATAGCTTGATCGATTATAAGATTATACGCCCTACCTATTTGCTATAATCTCTCGCAACGTTTCCGAGTCTGAAGGTTGACCAAATTCTCCTTTCAAGGTGTTTTATGACTGTATAATAATCGTGGGACAGCTGAGTTGCAATTACTTCTCGCTGATGTGCTCAATGAGGTCTCCAACATAGACCCAGAATTTAATCATCTCTTCTTGGGTCTCCCTGGTTGCAGTGTAGACTTGGTTAGTCACTTTGAGCTGCTAATCTGCTGAACTAAGGAGCTCAAGGAAGTGAGTTGGGAACTTTCATTTGACAAGTCCGCAAAATCATCTCTATACAAGGCATGAAACAGTACCACGAAATTGTTTCATCAATGTCTTCCACGTCCAATGAGAACCCTAGCAGAATTGTACCGCCGTCCACCTCACTCCATTCAGCTTTTGTGTTGCTATTCTTGTCACGTACTGGAAGAGCAGAGCATCTTCGTCCTTTGTGAATGCTGTCTTCGTTGTTTTTCTCTCTTCATGGTGAGATAGCACACGACACGGGACGCGTGATTTAAATAATAATAATGTTGCGAGTGATATAAACATGATGCACAAACACTGAAGTGATACGAAAAGCAATGTCATAGTTCTCGGGATCAATAAGCCATCTCCGAGTTGGACGGATGTGTTTTGCGCAAAGTAAATGTCCTTGAACTTTCTATCCAAGTCAGTGAACTTTGTCCCCCTTCCTCTGTTAACATTTTCCACCTCAGCGACGAAGTTTGGAGTGAATGGCTGCCCTTTGAAAGAGCCAAGCTGCTCCTCAAACGGTAGACATCCTTGGACGTAAAGGCGATGTCAGGGGCTCGAATTGTCCGGCACTTCTTTCACCGTAACAATATCACTTTAACTGATAAAATTAAATTACCAACCACCATCTCCTTCAACTCCCCATCAACGCGCCGAAGCACTGACGCCCTAGTATCGGTCGTGCTCGCTCTAATGTAAGAAGGCTTATCTGGTATTCTCATAAAAGCATTTGCTCAAACCATTCTTAATAAGCTACCACGCGTTTCAAAATTGAAGCCTCCTTGAGACGCGGTAATCACGCTGTTCTGTCTTGTTTGAATGTTCCAAGCTTCAATCTGTCTAACGATTTCAGCAACGACAGCCTCCTTCCGAATCGTCGTAGCATAGGAACGAGCTTGCCACCGATTTCGTTAATACGCCAATGTATAGGTACGGTTCAGGTTCAGACTATCAAGCCTCGACTTACGTGACACGTTTTCTTTTATTCAATGGGGTTGCTGCGGCTTGTGTCATTCTGCCCCATATTTGTGATTGGAACAGTCGCGATTAAAGATTGAATTAAAAGCGCAATGTAAATGGTATTAAGAGTAAGAGAATCTAAACAACAACAATTTATTTATTGTTATCATTTCAAGATGTCTTATATAATAGTCAAATATGCTAATTTTTTTTTTTTTTTTTTTTTTTTTTTTTTTTTTTTTTTTTTTTTTTTTTTTTTTTTTTTTTTTTTTTTTTTTT